AAAGCCTACTTCTGCCGATAATTTGTAAAACGATATTTAAGATCAGCTTTTGAGTATTACGAAGAAAGCGCTAAAATTAATATTTAATTGGCTGCCACTTGCTTATGCTTCACTTCTTTTTCTTAGAAATAATTTATATGCTGTAGAAAAAACCTGATCGTAACTGGTTTAGAGTGTTTTACATAATGACATCACTGATTAGATTTAGATTAAGCTGTTTAAACAGCATAGATGGAACTGTCAGCATTTTACACGTCTACATAGCAAAACAAATTAGTTTAGAAAACGTCATTCAAAATATTCAACCTCAATAAGAGGCTATAACGCTAGTTTGCTCAATCTAGATAATATCTTTCTTTTTTCTTTTTCCTAGCGAGTGAACGCTTAAACACTGTGGTACCCAAGCAGATTACTTACATTTCTTGCGACGAAGACATAAACAGCTCAAATGCTACAGTTTTTGAAATGTCGCCAAAACAGTAAGTTTCCTAAGGCTGATTTGCTACTGGTTATTATTGATTTTTAACGTTTTCAAAATACTTTTTATAAGCTGTTAGAAAGGCGAGAAATGAATCCGACTAAGACATTTAACAGGTACTCATAAATGTAACTTTTTATATTTTGCTAAACAGTAAAATGATGATTTTTTACTTAATCAATGTCGCAGTACACAGCGGTAACTGGCAGGTAACAGTATTTTTCACAATAAGTTATTCTGAGCTCACATAACACACGAAGCACTTTGATAAGATACGTAATCGCTACAGAAACATTTCTAACTAGTAACTTATTGTATTCGTGTTCATTTGTACTCGTCAAGCTTAGTGATTAATAGACCTCTCAGTTTTGGTTGTTTATTTCCAATGAATGTCTTTCGTATGTGCAAGTAGAAAATCTAGAAATTAAGACTGACTTAATCCTTACTATTTCTGAGCATAATTTAATAAGATGAACTATTCGCTTGTAATCTCATTCTTTTCAGGGTAAGAGCAAAATAACGATTGTACATCTTATTTTGCTTCTTTTATCTGCCGTATGTAAAAAATTGATTTCGTCTGGTAATGTGCTTAAGTGTTATGTTAAAAACTCTGGAACAGGTTGATTTATTAAAAAAGTTTAGTATAGACTGACGTCTTACCGCCTTCAAACGTTCTGTTATGCTATCAAACATTGAAACAGCAGACCTGATATTTTCCTGCTTCTCAAGGTGGAGAATGGCTCCGTTGTCAAAGAATTATAAACTTGGTCACGGATCTGTGAGGAAGTGTGTATTACAGGATAGGGGACCTAGATTCATCTAACAAGTAACCGGAATGTAAGAAGAGAGTCGGCAGGATTTACAACTGAAGCAGCAGTAAATCATGTATTTAATGCTCATATTTTTTTTGAAAATTTTTTCTTGACTTTTTCTTTCAGAGTGTGCTAAAAATGTACATTTAGAGATGTGTCGATGAAATGGTTATTTTGGAGATGTTTTAGCCGTTGCGTACAGCAGATTTTCTATCCTATTATATATTAAAGTTTTTTTCTTAGAATTTTTTGGAGGATATTTAGTTTTATTCCAAGTTTTATTCTACTGTAGTCAGTCTTAAGTTTAGCCGTTGTTTGTAGAATTATACTTTCCTTTGTTATTAACTTAAACTTTGCTGTAAGAGTGCAAGCGTTTGTATTCTATTCCTTTTTTTTTTTTTTTACTATTTATTTTTTTCTTTTTTTTTCTTTCAAAAGCTTAAATTTTTCAACATTTATTTTTTACTTACTTTTAATGTTCTGGTTATTTCCACTGCTATTTCAGTTGCTCCCATTTTCACTGCTACATGCTGCTTCTAAAATCCTTTGCCTTTTTGTTCACAGAGTTTGTTATCGTACCTTTCAAAAATTTGAAATTCTTGAAAATTTTCAAATTTTAAAATTTTTAAAATATTTTTCAAATCTGTGTTTATATATGTATTTTATTTCATTTTTTATCTTCTTTTTTTTTTTTTTTT